GTATATTTTTTAAAGAAATATTATATTATATATATATATATATATATATATATATATATAATATTAATAATAATAATAATAATAATACAATAATATATAATAATATAATATAATAATAATATATAATATATATATATAATATATATAATATAATTATATCATCAATATATATTATATCATATATATAATTATATCGTATTTCTTGCAAAAATAATTTTACTAAACAAATCGTAGTTTTAAATTTTCGTTTACGCCTAATAATCACTGACATGTTGGATAAAATATTTACAACAAATGATACAACATTACTGCACAACGTCTAAAAACATTTCTACGAATATTGCAGCTCTTTGTTGTGGATCTGTCAACTTTATCGAGATTTCGAAAGCTTCTTCCACCGATGCACCAAACATTATTAGTTCATTTCTATTAAAACAACTCCGAGATTTCGTCGACAATCTGAAAATATGCTTGAATACTCGAGCACCTGTGTCTTGAAAATCACACGAATTGAAATACGAATACCATAATGCCTGTGTACATTTGTACGTTAAAGAACATTGATACACACTAGTGTATTATAGCATGCTTCACCTTTATCCTAGCACTATAATGCACCGTACAAAATTTCTTATATAGTTGGCTGCATCAATGAAAAATCTTCAACATTGTATGGTCACTCTTACATTTTTTGGATAATGTTCAGTGTGTACCCTGATAAGGGTGTTATTCGTCTACACTTCGCGTTTCCAAAATGTCATACACATCGAATAATAAGAATACTCGTACCCTGATTATTTTATTATTATTTTTTAGCATTTTTATCTGTATTATTTCTTCTTATTTTTCTTATATATTTATATATTTATTTCTTATTTATATATTATATATTATATATATATTCTATATATATATTATATATTCTATATATATTCTATATATATTATATATTCTCTTTATTTCTTATATATTTATTTATTTTTATATATTTCTTATTATTTTTTTATTATCAATACCCAGATTAGAAAATACATTAGAAACACTGTTACGTGTCGCATTACTTTCTTTTTATTATTTACACGTTATGTGAACATTTTATTACACGCACAAACCGATAGTGAAAAGAATATTTTATTTTCATCACTATTTTCACCATCAAGCGTCGACACAGAGATTAATGTTATTCGAACGGAATGGTTTAAACTTTTTGCATAATTATAACACGGTTGTGTAAGTTTTATCATCGGTTGTGTAAGGATTTATCTTCGGTCAAAATCGCGGTGAATTATAATGTTCTGGGCAAGAATATCAACTCGTGCATAACTTGTTTCGCAAAATAATTATTCGTGTACAATAAGTATGGGTGTTCTGTGAAGTAATAAAATTAATATTTGAACATTTTTTTGATACTCTAACTAACGTTCTTCTATGATTTATATTTATCGCCGGTGTTAATACATTGGCGCGTGACAACTGGTAGGTTTAAGATAGTTCACCTTAAATTGCATTTTTATCTAACTGTTTTTTCACTCCTTATTATATGTACATATTTATCCTTTTCAAATCATATTTTAATTCGCATTTCTCTAATTCCAGCATCAGTTTGTTGCGCAAATCGATTCTTATCACATTCGCAATGACGAACGTCTCAAAAAAAAACTTGCAATGTGTTCGCTTTTTCGTTGCTCCAATTGTTCACGAGATGATACGATTTTGTATTTCCAATTATGTATTTCAACTATAACATACCAGTAGATTAGTCGGTTCGATTATATTCCGATATTTGAAGTAGCGAATGTTTTTATTCCTTAATGCACGAATCATTTTACCTCGATTTTTCTGTGTATATCTTAATCAACATAAGTAGCGTACATTTTTGAACGAATTTACAAATTTGCTGTTACGATATTTTGCGTGTTATATAATTACCATTAATTTTCGAATTAGATAAAAGTATCGTTGCGGCTTCGATGAGAAACTACTTGCCCAATTTTTTTGTAGGAAGCGCTGCCATTAACGATTTCATCAAAGATCGAACATTCCGACACGATCAGTTGTGAAATTCATAAAAACTTGGTACGCGTACTTTCACGTTTATAGCATAATGGAGTACGGCGGTGTGCAAGGTAGAGAAATTGGTAGCGACATTCAACAACATCTCTCTCCGATTATTAATACTGCCAAATATTATTTTGATCCCAAGCAAATCTTTGTCACACGAAAATCACAATCACAACAGGACATCGCGATGATTTCTTCCGATTTTTCCTCGCTTCTCGTTTCTACAGTAATTCTGGGACACTCTGTATGCACAGAACGGTCGCTCTTATTTATGGACAAACCACTATCTTTTTAAAATAACGGAGGTGCAACAAAATGGAGATGAAACAATTCTTTCTTTTTCTATTGCAGATTTCAGAGAATTTGAATTCAATGATGCGTGTATAATTTTTCAGAGATTCGATTTTGTTATCAACACAGTGCAATGCAATATATTTAGGTGACTCGTTGCGACAAGCAGAGTCTCATTATTAGTAACTGAAGCCTCGCTATTAGTACTTTAGTTCTTAGTATTATTTTATTAGTATAGTAATGTCTCCCTAACTGACGCTGTCTAACTGCACAAAAATGGACAATTTGGGGAAAGGAGATACGATTATTCGAGCCTTGCGGTGTTTGTTTTTATAATTACGAATTGTCAATAATTGCGAAAAGGCTCGAATAATCGTATCTCGTTTTTCCAAATTGTCCATTTTTGTGGACAATCTGAGCGTCAATTAGAGAGATATTACTGTAACTGAATTGCATTGTTCCGAATAAAAACGGCACTGGTACAATCGATTGAAATGCAAATGTACCGTCAATAATTATTCCACGATGGAGCACACTATAGAGGAACGTATTTTTACGAAATATGTATAGTATGTATCACAAAGTATATTACAAAGTAATTTACAAAGAAGGAAATATGAAATACTGACTAATAGCACTGACAGCACTCTTCGTCTTTAAATATTGAAAATACTAATTTACGAGTAAAATACACAAGCAAGGAATTTCAAATATTTCGAAGGAATCTATTCTTAGCGTAGAAATATTGCAATAATTTATTAGGCATACTTTGCTGCGACCGCAGAAAATACACAGTCTTAAAGTAATACTTTTCTTAAAAATCTATAACGCGTAACACTTGCGTGATCTTTGCAATCGTTCTTTTTTTATGGATATAGTCTTAAATGTTAGTTAAAGAAACCACCGAATATACAGGGTGCCCAAAAATGTCTCGCAATCCGGAAATGGTGTGTTCCTCGGATCATTTGAAGCAACTTCTTCCTTTACAAAAATGTTCTCCGAGGCACCGTTAACGAGTTATTAACGAAAAACAGTGACCAATAAGGATCGAGTACGGCTGATGCGAAGCGGCCCAGCCAAGGAGCGCGCGAAGTCCAGTTCCGCTCATTGGCTCGGCCGCCTCGCGCCAGCTGAGCTGGGATTCGACCGCCTCGACCGCTGGCGCCGTTGGCTCGGCCGCCTCGCGCCAGCTGAGCTCGACTCTCATTGGTCACTGTTTTTCGTTAATAACTCGTTAACGGTGCCTCGGAGAAAATTTTTGTAAAGGAAAAAGTTGTTTCAAACGACCTGAGCAACCCGCCACTTTCGGATTGCGAGACATTTTTGGGACACCTTGTATAACGTTAATCATGTCCTGGCAACGTGTAATGTTGCAACACTATTTCCGAATGACTAGTGAGTTAAAATTAGTTTTCCCTAATTAACGCTCAGATTGTATACAAAAACGTACAATTTGGGAAGAGGAGATGCGTCGATTAGGGAGAATTTACACTTGAATATTTGCACATCTTGCTGTACCTCACCGCGTGCGAAAGCGATTTAACAATGGTATCAGTTTTATGGGCAACGTGTTCGTATTAGGGTCGTTTCGTACTAAATCGTTATTATTCGCAATTATTAGTTTAGCATACTATAGCTGGTTCGCCGTCGCGTCGGTCGCGAATAAAGAAGTTTAGTTGAAAAGTTATAAGGGTTTGTCGATAGTCGGTCGAACTTAAAAAAAAACAAAAGAAAAAAAAAATCTTTTTCTACTCGCGTACGCTTAACGCTCCACTTTTCTCCTGTCTCTGTAATCTCTAACAGTTTTCAGACCACAAAACATGGCATTGTAGACCCCATGTTGTCCATATGGGGTCACCAACTCTTTGTTAATGGCGATACCGATCAGTAAGTGAACTACAAAATAACACTTCTCGTAATAAGTATTTTATGAAACATATGCAATGCCTTGAGTGTTCTCTATATACATATATTTCATTCCTTCTCCGACACATGTTTTCATTTCCTACGCCTCCTTTTTATATTACATTCACGATACTTGTTCAAGCGTCATTCGAGCATTCGCTTCGTTTTTTCTTAACATTTTTATTATCTAACAAAGCTTAGTCGCTGTGTACATAAAAGCGTACAGTTTCTTACCTTTTTGATAATGCGCCCTGGTACGTTCATATTTTTCATTGTGCTTTCCGAAATGCTGGCCGACAATGCGATAACGGTCCGAATACATTTTTTACAGGATCGCAAAGACACTTTGCTTCAGCAATAAAGGGCACGGCCTCTACCTGTCGTCGCCCACGGAGATTCAGAAATTTTCAGTATCCAGCGAGTTCTGGTAAGTGCTTGTCTCGATCGTAGAACACCTGGAACATCCAGGGGTGCCCCATAATTATGTTAACACCCGAAAGTATTCGGATTTTAATTATTTTAATATACTATTATTTTATGAAAATAGTTAATTATTTTAATATATTATTATTTTATTAAAATAGTTAATTATTTTAACTATTTTAATCATTCTCTCTCGTTTTGATTTATTTTTTAATTTTCATTATTCTCTTTCCTCGGGTTTTAATTATTATATTATTCTCTTTCGTTTATCGTGATTGAGATACGTATATAATTATTTTTGTAGCGGCGAGTTAACCGAAATGATGGGAGACTTGTTCATCGGCCACGACATGCCTGAACCACCGAAAGAAAGCTTCTTCAAGGGCCTCTTCGGCGGAGGATCGCGAAGTCTCGACAGAGAAGAACTATGTAAGTTTTATTAATTTTAGTATTTTCATTATTCTCTGCCCCGAAATAATTTAACCCATAGGTTCTATCCGTGGTCGATTGTAAATGAAAGTAATCTTTTAAATTATTGAAACTTTAACACTGTTTCCTAAGAGAACGGCTGAATTTTATGGCCCAAGACTACTTTTTTACAGATCATCATCTTCAACGACTCCAAAACCAGAGACCAAACATTTCTTTTCACCTCTTGTATATGTGGAGTAGGACCATACAATCACAGTTCTTCTGAAATGCTCGTGACACACCGCTGAATTACATTCAACTTAATGAATTTGGCAAATCGCACGTATTTTTTCCAATTAGCCTTATAAAATATACATCAAATTCCATTTAGAATTTCATTTCATCATCCTCTATTTTGTGGAAATGATGATTCACATCGTTTTAACCAATGCTTCCATTCTTCTGCTTGCCAACTATACGTTTACAGAGCCAGTAGGTTGATATATGTATATATCATTGTCACATATATATTATATTATCACATATACATTATTACATATACATATATCATTCTAATTCATATGTTGTGGCCTTGAGTGACCTTCATATATGTATAGGCCGTTGTATTCGTCTCGGAAGGCTCCATCAGAATGTGAATAAAAATTTAGGTCATCCCACTTAAAGAAACAAGTTTGACCTTCATATGTCCTCTACGCCTCCACTTAAAAAAGAATTATTAACATGATATAACGAGAGCACCCCGAAATCAAACAACTTTTGTCTGACACGTTTTTTCCTATCGTCAAAAACAAGCGAGTTATTCTGGTGTCTTGTTTCAAATGCCCCACCCTGGATATCTCTCCATAAGTGGCGACCATTATATCTTTCTTATACTGGACAATTCCGTAGCAAACTTCTTTCACAGATCTTTGATGTGTGATATTACACATTATTTGGATATCTCTCCATAAGTGGCGACCATTATCTTTCTTATACTGGACACTTCCGTAGTAAACTTCTTTCATAGATCTCTGGTGTGTGATATTACACATTATTTGGATATCTCTCCATAAGTGGCGACCATTGTCTTTCTTATACTGGACACTTCCGTAGCAAACTTCTTTCACAGATCTCTAGCATGTGGTATTACACATTATTTGGATATCTCTCCATAAGTGGCGATCATTATCTTTCTTATACTGGACACTTCCGTAGTAAACTTCTTTCATAGATCTCTGGTGTTTGATATTACATATTATTTGGATATCTCTCCATAAGTGGCGACCATTGTCTTTCTTATACTGGACAATTCCGTAGTAAACTTCTTTCATAGATCTCTGGTGTTTGATATTACATATTATTTGGATATCTCTCCATAAGTGGCGACCATTGTCTTTCTTATACTGGACAATTCCGTAGCAAACTTCTTTCACAGATCTCTAGCATGTGGTATTACACATTATTTGGATATCTCTCCATAAGTGGCCATCATTGTCTTTCTTATACTGCACACTTCTGTAGCAAACTTCTTTCACAGATCCCTGGCGTGCGGTATTACACATTATTTCAGTAAAAAATTCAACTTACCCTCGTCATGCCCATCGATCCGGTGAAGCGAATGCATCACTTATGAACGGACCATTGTTTTCTCCGGACCGCGGGCCATAATGTTTCGCCAATGGAAATTTTCAGTTGGCGAGTCCAGCGGACGAGCATCCCGCACGGTGGCGAAACATATACCAGGACCGAACGCCGGCACGGAGGCGCTTCGCGAAAGAGTAACAACGGCGACCAGCGAGGTGAACATGGCCCATCAGATGGTTTTGGAGCGTGGCGAGAAGCTCTCCCAGCTGGAGGAACGAACGGCCCGCATGATGAACGAGGCGGAGGGCTTCCAAACGTCCAGCCACACGTTGATGCTCAAGTACAAAGACAAGAAATGGTACCAGCTATGAGAATATTGTTCGAATTCAACCGAGATCTGGAATTGCGTACAGCTCTATTGTAATGTAGCGTTCACGTTTCACGTATGAGCTTCGTCGTACTAAACGGGAAAGGAGAACAACAAGTCTTTCCGGCAACAAACAGAGCGGCGAATGAGTCTGAGAATTCGCGAGCGAGAGAGAGAGAGCGAGAGAGAGAGCGAGAGAGAGAGAGAGAGAGAGAACAAATCGATCATATTTGTGGACTTTGTACGCACATACAGGAAACATATTACACGGGATAAAAGAGTGAGAATCGTGTGTGTATGACTGTGTTTGCGCGCGGCGTGCGTGTCCTCTGTGTATACGTGAAAGAGAGTGAAAGAGAGAATAGAGAGATCACACACGGGAAGAGAAGAAAGCGGAGCTAGGAGAAACAAGAAATAAAAAAAAAAGAAGGAACATATTCATGCGATACCTTGTTACAAGCAGGGGTATTAATACACACGCACATCTTTCAGCGAAGAACATAAAGAAAAAAAAAAGTCGTACTTGTACACGTCTAAACACAAATAAGATTTAAGTATATATATACATATATGCGCGATCTTTCAGAATGTGTAATAATCTCTATAAATAAAATATAAATGAATGAATAAATAAACAAATCAACAAACAAACAAATAAATAAATGAATAAATAAATATATATATACACACGACGTGTAGCCCGATGCAAATGAAATGGGTGTATACGTTAACGTATAGACCAACGTAACGAACAGACGACAACAACAACAACAACAACAAAATGAAACGGAAGGAAAGTGGAATGGCTGCGATTAAAATTAAATGAATTATTAGCGCATACATAAATTACGATAAGATTTAAGAGCGTAAGTACTTAGGCGGGAATTAAGTGGAGGATTCTACTACGTGCGAGTCAATACATACAAAAATGATGTAACAATTCGCCTTTTAAACCTACGACTCTCGTTAATCCATTCGGACGTCCTGTCACGGTGAAACGTTCGCGCAAAATGGCGCTTTGACCTCACCTGTTTTTCGTTTAAACAAAAAAAAACAGAAAAAAAGAAACACAGAGCGAGAGAGAGAGAGAGAGAGAGAGAGAGAGAGAGAGAGAGAAAGGGGAGAAAAGAGTATAAAGATCGATGATCCGCGTAAAAGAATAACATTGTCCGAACGACAAGACGAAAAGAGAAAGAAAATATCTGAGGAGAAGCGACGATGAAGACGCGCAGCGACGTTATTCCGAATGTATTGACAATAAACGTAATTAATTAACCGAGGTAATAGCGCATTGAATAAACGTTGAACGCAGTAAAAAATATATAATTTATCCACGATGCTGGACCATCGGACTTCTACCAAGGCGTGTACGGTCGTGACTGTGCCGACGCACCGTCGATAAATCATATATTAGTTGTTATTAATTGTAGTTGACCGCTAGATATGCTATGTATATAAAATAACAAATGCAGTAGGAAATATTATACGTCAAAAAGAGCTGTTTGTATAATAACATGTTGTAAGTTACGCTACTTCAGCGTCGTCGATCAATTCGATCGGATTTGTGCACGCGCATTTGTATATGTAACACGTGTCCCATCTGGATCACGAAGAAGAAGACGGCGACCCTGCTGTAATTTAAATAGAAGAAACGAACAAAAAAAAAGAAGAAAGAAAGAAAGAAAAAAGAGAAATTATACGTAGCGTAGAGATCACCCAGAAAGTCAATAAAACGCGAGTATAATACGTGGCGCGGACGCGCGACAAGTTCCTTCGAATTCGTCGAGACGCTGAATCGTCGTACTGCTTCCATAGCAATAACTGTATAGTTGATGTTAATGGTACTAATCACCTACATAAAACTATATTATATAGTACGCCCAACAGCGGATTAACTAGATCGCAATTTCTTCGACTATCGGGTATAATTTTCCTCGGACGCGAATACGGTTGTACCTCGATCGACCGGGTCTCGATTATCCGAACGCTGTTCCTCCAATGTTTCCGTTGCCGTCTTTTTGCTTCTCCGAGAACGAGAGATTCCCGTTCGACATAAGTTTCGAACAGGCGCGAGCAAAAGTATTTTCCAAAAAAGAAAAAAAGAAAAAAAAGAAAAAAAAGGCTGCGTCGATACAAGGTAGAACACAGACCGTAGAAAATAAAGGAAGAGAGAACACACGCGTGTACAGTGATTGAGAAAAGTATTCGATTCTCCCCGTTCCGTTTCAGTAAAATAGTCGATTGTTAACGGCGCGCTCGCGTCGCAGCTATTCTATTATCGTTAATGTTGCAAAACCCGAAACGAAGCTGCGGTTCTCGTGTAAATAATTTTCAACTGGATGTCACGTTTACAAAACTACGTATTATTAACCTGAAACCAAGTAGCTAGTAGAGCGATGAATGTTCGTTAGTTTTTAGGTACTTTCTGCAAACACTGTACGCGTCCACGATCGCGCGTCACACAAGAATCGCATTTTTTCCCGTCGAACAGAAAATATACCTGTCGCCGAGGATCAATTATATATGTACGTCGAACATTTCCCGTCGAGATCTCGATTTATCCGAGCCGTTCGAGCCGGCCGATCGAGGCTCCGCTGTACGCGCAACATAGAATTTCGTTCGCGAACGTTCGACCACCGGCGAACCATCTTTTCCCACAAGTTCTGTACTCGCTATACGGCCATTAGCGATCCACGTGCAACAGGGTGAACTTGCTCGACGCGACGTTTCGACCGCGAGATCGCATAATGTACATGCACAAGAGAACCGAGAAGCGATATATATCCGCCGTTCTCCTTTCCTCTTGCGATTCTTCTTTATTTTCCATCGATTTGTTTCGTCGTTCGAGCGACACTCATTCCGGCAACGGATTGTATTCCGGGTTTCCTAACGACCCTGGGAACTTTGAACGCGGGGGTCTCCGGCGAGGCGACGAGAAAACGGCAGAAAATCGACGATTACGTTCGAGATACAGTGATGTCTCCCTTACTGACGCTCGGATTGTCCACGAAAATGGACGATTCGGGAAGAGAAGATGCGATTGTTCGAGCGCCTTGTAGTTTACATTATATTATATTATAAATATTATATTATTTTATATATATATATAATAATAATAATAATATAATATAATATTATATTTATATTATAATATATTAATATAATATAAATATAATAATATAATATTATATTATATAAATTTATAATATTATATTATATTATAAAATTTATAATATTATATTAATAATATTATATTATAAAAGCGAGCCGCGAGACTCGAACAATCGCATCTCCTCTTCCCAAATTGTCCATTTTTGCGGACAATCTGAGCGTCGATTAGAGAGACATTACTGCAAATGTACGCGCGCGCGAAGAGAAGCGTGTCGGTGATCGGCGAGCGAGCGGATGGAAGCCAATAAAACGCGACAGCGACGCGAAAATGTTTTCTCGGATCTTTTGTGAGAACGGAAACGTTGTTTATCGCTCTAAAACAATAGAATAGTAAATGTAAGATAGTTGCAGGCAGAGAACAGAAACAAAAAAAAGATTACGATACATTACTATCTAAGTGTTTGATAATATAACATATTCTAACACTTGTTGTATAAAGACTACTGTTTAGATGATTCTGAATTATTTATCGTGTGTCGAACAGGTCGAAATGTGTTTGAAAATAATTTACTCGCGACGACGAGAGGGAAAGCGGGACGACGATGAAAAAAGGGTGGCGGCAGCGGGCGTTGAGAAAATATGATTCGAGAATGATTCGAGATCAAGGATGAATGCGACGAACAAATAAAAGCATGATTGTTAATCGACATTTCTATCGCGCCCTCGTCTACGTTTCGTTTCGTTCCGCGTCGCGGATCGACGCGCGTTCGAAGCGAGAAGAAAAGAAGAAGAAGAAACGTTCATTTTCCTCGAATTATTTTCACACACAATTATAGATCTCCTGCGAGGCTAGTTGTTTTGCGATTCGTTTAACGATCGATCGATTGACTTGCAANATATAAATATAATAATATAATATTATATTATATAAATTTATAATATTATATTTATATTATAATATATTAATATAATATAAATATAATAATATAATATTATATTATATAAATTTATAATATTATATTATATTATAAAATTTATAATATTATATTAATAATATTATATTATAAAAGCGAGCCGCGAGACTCGAACAATCGCATCTCCTCTTCCCAAATTGTCCATTTTTGCGGACAATCTGAGCGTCGATTAGAGAGACATTACTGCAAATGTACGCGCGCGCGAAGAGAAGCGTGTCGGTGATCGGCGAGCGAGCGGATGGAAGCCAATAAAACGCGACAGCGACGCGAAAATGTTTTCTCGGATCTTTTGTGAGAACGGAAACGTTGTTTATCGCTCTAAAACAATAGAATAGTAAATGTAAGATAGTTGCAGGCAGAGAACAGAAACAAAAAAAAGATTACGATACATTACTATCTAAGTGTTTGATAATATAACATATTCTAACACTTGTTGTATAAAGACTACTGTTTAGATGATTCTGAATTATTTATCGTGTGTCGAACAGGTCGAAATGTGTTTGAAAATAATTTACTCGCGACGACGAGAGGGAAAGCGGGACGACGATGAAAAAAGGGTGGCGGCAGCGGGCGTTGAGAAAATATGATTCGAGAATGATTCGAGATCAAGGATGAATGCGACGAACAAATAAAAGCATGATTGTTAATCGACATTTCTATCGCGCCCTCGTCTACGTTTCGTTTCGTTCCGCGTCGCGGATCGACGCGCGTTCGAAGCGAGAAGAAAAGAAGAAGAAGAAACGTTCATTTTCCTCGAATTATTTTCACACACAATTATAGATCTCCTGCGAGGCTAGTTGTTTTGCGATTCGTTTAACGATCGATCGATTGACTTGCAAATATATTTGTCGCGCGAAATCGCGTCGCCGAAACGAGCGACGGCGACCGACAGCGATCTTGCGACATATTCTGCACTTGATTTTCGAAGTCCCAACGTTGTTCTCTATGTATTCGAACGAGTTTTACTTTTGTCAGAACGTAGAAAAGAAAGGAAAAAAAAGAAAGAGAGACAGAGAGAGAGGGAGGAGAGAGTTCTCCTCGAAACGAATATAAAATTGCTTCCTATATGTTCGAACGAATGGTAGCTACCTCTCCCACTCGCTATGCTCTTTGTACGAAACGTTCATTATTTATTGTGTCTTGATCTATTTCGACGCAGTGGCCTGAATATGTAAATCTACTATTGTAAATGAAATTTTGTCCTTAGACGCAGCGAAATATCTAATACTCTCGATTTATACCATTACTAATCTAGTAACAGTTCTTATTTTTCAAGAGAATATAATACCATGTTATTGTAAAAGTACTGCCTCGAGGACAGATTGTATCTTGGCTCCGATTAATAAATGAGTTCGAACCAAAAATTTCACCGCCGTACGGATTTCCGTCGACCAAAAAAAATCAACTCCTGGCAATTCTTTGGTCCTCATTCCGCATTGTCGCGACCCCTGCAGCTTCACGATTCGAATTCGGACATGTCGATGTTAATAAAAAAGGCGTTAATGTTAATGTTAACAAGCGTCGCGGCGCGGCGCGACCCTTGTTTCAGGAGTCGGCGATTCGATCGGGTCGCTCGCCGCGCGACAGAAATTGATCTGCGCCTGTAAATTCGACGGGTAATTTCGACAGCCAATCAGATAAATAAATAGAGTTGTTGCATCTTCGAGGCCGCTGCGGTCCTGTTCCGCGCGTATACTCGGCTCAAACAAAGCCACGACCGCCTCGCTTCGCGCGTCGTGGCGAATTCCTAAACGAGAACCCGCACCTGTCTCGGGACGTTTTTCGGTTGATCTACGAAACTCGAGCTTCCTTCGAACTTCTAATCTTTCCGTATGAAAGTAAACATCCCGTATAGCACGGCAATCGTGTTCTCCTCGGCATTGCCGTGCTATGCGACCGTCGCGTGCGTGTTAACGCGTAAACGCTAAGAACTAATACGAAAACAGGGTAAGGTTCCGAGTACTAACAAAACTACATTATTTTGCTTTTATAACTATAAGAAACATGTTTAATAAAATTATCAATAACCGTCGAAATATACTATACATTAATGTTACACAATGCACGCGAACGTTTGTCTCCTTTGTCACTGCTGGGCACCAACGAACAAGATCGTTCTCCCCTGTTACTGAGTAGAGTAATTTCTCCCTTATTCGCGCTCGGATTGCGCACGAAAGCGGACAATTCGGGGAAAGGAGACACGATTATTCGGCTCGAATATTATATTCATTAATTATTATATATATTATATATAGTATTTATTGTATATATTGTATTATTATATTATATATAATTATATATAATATTATATTATTAATTAATTATACAACGCTCGAATAATCGTGTCTCTCCCTCCCAAATTGTCCACTTTCGCGTGCAATCTGAGCGTCAATTGGGGAGACTTTACACAATAACTTACAACTTCTAAAATAATGAATTATT